GGTTTAAAACAAATAAGCTAGAGGGCGTTATCTGCAGCGGTTACATATTTTTGTGATTTTTGAAAAAAAGTTAAATGGAACGGTACTATTTACTAACTTAAAATAATTTACAGCTATTTCTCTTGCCCACTTTGCTTGTAAGGATTTTTTTCCCAAACCTCTAGGCCTTACCGCTGTTGAGATACAGCCGCTCCGTACGCTTAACGGGACACCCTGTACAATAGATTAACATTAATTGTAATTTTAGCAGAGAAAAATTATTTGTAGCATGAATCATAGTATTTATAAAACCATTTCATATGATACCTAGGCCATGAAAATCGGAATGTAAATAACAGAGTTACAGCTTGGGGCGTTTTTTGTGTGACACCCCTGTATATGAGTCAGATGAGGAATATGACACTAATTTGACAAACGTTGCTTCATCATTAGTTTCCATGATGATCAAAGTAAAATGATTAGAAGACAGAAATAAATTTTTGACTTAATATGTTAACAACTTTTCAATTATTTTTCAAAGCACACAATTTCGATGTCTAGATTAATTTTGGACTTACGACTATTTTGCAATAAAAACGAAAGGACTTATTTCTTTAAAATCGAAACATTTTTCCTCGTAATAAGGTTTTTTAAAATATGTTACTAAAAATGAAATACCGGGTTTTAGAGTATTCTTATTTGAGCATTAATTCATTTTTATTAAAAGTGACTTTACACCCCTTTAGCTCTCAAGTACAGATTTATTTAAAAGAAATTTTAAAAAGAAAGTGGCGCCATCTATCATTCAATAGCTTAATTATATTACATAACCTAATTACATTAAATTTTTAATTTAAATTTTTTGATATTTTTTAGAGCCTCGGCGTTGTCCTCTACGTTATAGTTTGTGGCTCACTCCCTTTCGATGGAAGAACATTACAAGCGTTAAAAAACGTCGTTATTGAAGGAAAATTCCGAATACCTTACTTCATGACTGAAGGTAACCTAAAAAAAAATCAATTAAATTTAAACCAAACTCACCCAAATAATATCTTTTTAGAATGCGAACATTTAATTCGTCACATGTTAGTGGTCGACCCCGAAAAGCGATTAACAATATCCCAAATCGAAAAGCACCCTTGGTTAATGGACTCCCCGATCGTTGACACCGGCCCCGAATGGGAAGCGCAACAACAAATCAACCTAACCGTAATCGATCATATGATGCAATTACCCGGATTATCCCAAGGAATGATTTTATCATCGCTTCGAGCGAACTCTTTCGATCATATTTACGCTATTTATAATTTATTGGTAGATAAATTGCATCAACGGACGATTAAGTTTCAAAAAAATTCTCAACCGCATCAAAAATTGTTAAACGCGAATAACAAAATTAACGAACGGAGTGAGTCGTTTAACGAGGAATTAGTAACGAATTTAATCGGCGAGATAAATAGTAAATCTAGTGAGATTTCGCGGTTTTCCGATCACCAACAGAATCAGCAACAACCGTTGAATTACCGTCGAGAGAGTTTTAACGAAAATTGTTTACGCTCGGTTCGCGATGAAGTTAAGGAACGTAGGAAGTCGTTGAATGAGCCCCCGGATGAAGTGGGGAGTCCCTTCGTGTCGATGCCCGCCGTGTACTTCGTGGGGGAAAACCAAGAAAATCAACCTTTAGAGAAATTCGGCGAGATGGATTTAGATCAACCCGATGAATCTCATTCGTTAACCGTGCCAACGACGGGGTATGGAAGCTTCTTATCAGGTTCTGGAGATCGATATTTAACAGTGAGGAGACACACAGTTGGTCCTGGAGATACCGCGCATGAACAGGTGTTGGAAAATCATTATTTAGTGACACCTCAAGATGTGGGGGTAACTGGAGGGAGGATTTTACCACACACTAATCTTCCATTGCATCTCCCCCTTTTGGGGCAACAAAATCCGCATTATTTTAGCGCGAAGGATCCGCATTTATTAAAACCACCGACGGTTATGAATGCTGCTGGAGGTTTTGGACGAAGAGCTTCAGGTAAATTATTAATTAAAAAGCGTAAAAGCTTTAAAACCGTCTCGGAATAGACAAGCTCAAACTATTAGTGCCTGTCTATTTTTATCACAGAACTGTGATAACAGCTGGCATAAATTTAATCACAAATACTAGACTCAAAATGANGAGGAGACACACAGTTGGTCCTGGAGATACCGCGCATGAACAGGTGTTGGAAAATCATTATTTAGTGACACCTCAAGATGTGGGGGTAACTGGAGGGAGGATTTTACCACACACTAATCTTCCATTGCATCTCCCCCTTTTGGGGCAACAAAATCCGCATTATTTTAGCGCGAAGGATCCGCATTTATTAAAACCACCGACGGTTATGAATGCTGCTGGAGGTTTTGGACGAAGAGCTTCAGGTAAATCATTAATTAAAAAGCGTAAAAGCTTTAAAACCGTCTCGGAATAGACAAGCTCAAACTATTAGTGCCTGTCTATTTTTATCACAGAACTGTGATAACAGCTGGCATAAATTTAATCACAAATACTAGACTCAAAATGATGAGTAAATAATTTAGAGTTTTGATACTTTTAAATTGGTTTTTATTTTATATAGGATTTAAGTCTGACTAGTTTTCTTACCCATTGAAATCCATGAAATTAAAGACGAAATGACCCAAAAAACACATTAAAAATAAAAAGAAAGTGTGGAAAAGTGATTAACACTATATCCTTTCAAGTTCAAATTGGCATTGGGATTAATCAAATTCAAAATGGCATTAAACAAAACCAATTTGGCAACTGCCATAATCAAATTGGCATTAATCAAAGTCAAAATGACATTAATCAACATTAAATTGGCATCTTTGATTCGTGATTAACCTTTTAAACGCATAATTTTATATTTGGTAATAAACAATATGTATAATATTTGTTAATTCAAAAGGTGACATTAATTTTTGGAATACTGTTCCTAATTATATTTTCTAATTTTCGAATTCTGTACTCTGAGACAAATTGCATTAGCGAAGTCCGCCTTTACACCAGCATTCAAAATTGACCAAGCGTGTTCACTTGGGTTTTTTAGCATTAGACTATAAGGACGTAGCCTTACAAGTTTTTGATGAAGAAATTCTTGTTCTTCAACACCATAATGACTAGGAGCATTATCAATGACTAAAACCACTGAACATTAGCTATCTTGAGTTCTCCTTAAGCATTGCCTAACAAACTCATTAGCCTCTTCTCTTTTAAAAGATTGATACATCCTATAAGATGAACATTTGCACCATTCGCTTACATTAAGCTAAAACTCATTTCGTAATGTTTCTTGCAACTGGTTAAGTGTGATTTTAGGATTTTCTTCAAGTTCAAAGAAATACTAGTAATTTTTATTTTATGTTCCCCTTCTCTTGGTTTTTTACTCATCCCAACTATTCTTTTTGCAACACCAAGAATTTAATGCAAACTAAATTGTACCAGGCGCAATTCCTATTGTAAATGGCACAAATTTATCGTTTCACGTTTGCTGCTTCCTTTTTCTTAATATTTGGCATTTTGTAGATATGTATGTTGTTCGTTAACAGTGACAATTTGTAATTGGTTAACGTCATTTTGATTAATGCCAATTTGATTATGACAGTCGCCAAATTGGTTTTGATTAATGTAATTTTGAGTTTGATTAATGCAAATGCCAATTTGAACTAAAATGTCAACCTTAATTTTGACATATTTGAAATCTTCATTAAAAATCCTTAAAAATGAGTACAAACACGACATATTTATCTTCAATATTAATGAAGTTATGGTTAACTTCCGGTTAAAAATGTCAACGTCAATTTTGACATATTTGTAATCGTCTATCGTATATTCTTAATTTTTATAAAATGTGTTAAAATTTGTTACAAATATGGAAATATAACACAAAAAATAAAAAATTAAGGTTGGTATTAATATTTAAAAATTAAATTGATATATTTATTGTTTGCTAACTTCGGGTTTAATGTTTTTTATTTTAACTTTTTTGTTTTTTGAGATAAAAGCATCATGTTTGGACTCATTTTAAAGGTTTTTTTAATAAAGAATGCATCATGAATGAAAACCATGAAGTTGTTCATTTGTCTATTATATGGTAACTAACTTCAGATTTAAAATGTCAACCTCAATTTTGACATATTTGTAATCTTCATTAAAAATCCTTAAAAATGAGTGCAAGCACGACATATTTATCTTCAATATTAATAAAGTTATGGTCAACTTCCGGTTAAGAATGTCAACGTCAAATTTGGCATATTTGTAATCGTCGTGAAAAATCCTTTTAAAGGAGTCCAAACATGATACGTTTAATTCCAATATTACTCGAGATATAGGCAACTTCCGGTTTGAAATGTCAATGTCATTTTGACATATTCTTAATTTTTATAAAATGTCTTAAT